GGGGAAGTGGATTCTAACTAAGTAAGTTCTAATCTATCCATTCATGTAAAAATTATGTAGTTACACGAGGGGTGCTACGGAATCTGTTTTCTAAGCATATTTTCGACCCTCATCTCACGGCCTACTAGTAGATTTCACAAGTTCTCAAATTAGCCCCATAACTTCTTGATCCGAAATTGATCAGAAACCAACAACTAAAGCAATTTATACTGTCCAGTAGTTATTACATTAACTATAAAAACATTTTATGACTAAACTAACCTATTATTAGTTTATAAGTGTCGCGTTAAATTGTATTAAACATCTTTAAAGGCCTTTAAAGTTCCAACAATTTTGTACATGCACTGATTTATACTCGAAATAATTCTTTTATTCGCAAGACAATCTACTGTTTTGCTTTGAATAACTATATTTGCGAATCGGGAATGAGGATTTTGAAATTATTGTTCAAGTATTACGGATATACCATTTGTAAACAATGTACGTGTTATACAAGTAGTACGGGCTAATAATATATGTATCTGTTTTATTTAATAAATTATAATTGTATATGTGTTTGTATATTTTACAAACACAAGACTGCTTCTTGCCAAAATTGAGAAAATATATATTAATGTAGTTGTGTATAAGACAAAATTTCATGAAAGATTCTACTTTTGGTATATATTTTGACTCATTTTGTGCTTTCGCTACACCTTGTCAACATAATAATAGTGTTGCTTCAAACTTTATGATAAAAAACCCCGATTTTCTAGACGTGTATACAAATAAAAATAGTAAGTTTATACTATAAATGAGTTTATTTTACCTGTATCGGTTTAATTTCGCTGTTAAGTTGCAAATAATTCTGTTTGAGAACGCAATAATTGGGCATTTCGCAACCAGGGCAGTTTCAGGGCAGTTTCAGGGCAGTTTTGGCCTTGTTGTTGGGAAATTCACTAGGCCTTCTATTTTTTCGCTTGCGTCCCATCCTCGGTCCCGCCCCCAAATCACCTAGTCCCAGTCTTTTCATGTGAAAAAGCGCTGAATATTAAAAATATATAAATAAAAATAGAAGGCCTAGGTCTAGGCTGGTGTGTCACGTGACCAGCCACAACCAGGGTCTTTCCGCAGCTTGAGGGCGTGCGAAGGTAAGAGCCTGGGTACGAGGTTGGTAAAAATCTAAGCAAAGTGAAAACATTTTTCGCATATTTAACAGTAAATTAACTTATGACTATACTTACAATTATAGTTATTCAAATCCCTTATTCACTGCGTACAATCCCAGATTTAGAAAAGGCGGTACCCCAAAAATGGCGGCGTGAGAAAGGCTAATTGAAGCTTATATTACGTATTATTATTTTTTTAAAAATTCCGGATCCTGGTTTCTGATTGGCAAACAGCCGACTGTGAAATTGTCATATCAACTCAATGGCTAACCAAATATGGATTTTTCACATTCATATTAGCAAAATGACGTCAAAGAGTCAATATGAAAAAAACAATTGGACGCGTTTGCGCCATACTACTATGACGACGAGAATCATATTGACTCGCTGGCGCCATTGATATGACGACGACGACGGCTGCCGAAGGACTAAGGAATTGTTTTTTTCTAAATACAAATAAAATACAAATGGCTTCCGTTTGTTTTGAATTTTTTAAATAAATAATAAAACTCAGCTTCGGCTTAAAACAATAACGGCAAACTTCGGGCTTGATAATTCTTCATATCGTGCTCAACCTCATTCAATAATTGTTATTATTATTTATTTAAAAAATTCCTGGTTTCTGATTGGCTAACAGCCAACTGTGAAATTGTCATATCAACTCAATGGCTAACCAAATCTGTATTTTTCACATTCATAATAGCAAAATGACGTCAAAGAGTCAATATGAAAAAAATTTGGACGCATTTGCGCCATATTACTATGACGACGAGAATCATATTGACTCGCTGACGCCATCGATATGACGACGACGGCTGCAGAAGGACTAAAGAATTGTTTTTTTCTTAATACAAGTAAAATACCAATGGCTTCTTCCACTGAAAGGTTCGCCAACCTTGGGGAAGCCGAAATTCAAAAATTACTGGAAGATAAAGATTCGTTAAATACAAAAAGATAAACAAAAGCTTCTAGAATAGGTAAGAACACTTTTCCTAATTCTTGTTTGGCTGATTATTAACGCGGGCGAACAAATGGATGACCGTTTGTTTTGAATTTTTTAAATAAATAATAAAACAATTATTGAATTCGGTTTTCACACAATATGAAGAATTATCAAGCCCTCAGTTTGCCGTTATCAACCTTAGCCTTCGGCTTCGGTTGATAACGGCAAACTTCGGGCTTGATAATTCTTCATATCGTGTTCAACCTCATTCAATAATTGTTAAATAATAACATACCTAACATTTACCGTATACTGTATGTTTGGGAAATTGATAATTTTGTAATTAAAAGTGATATTTTTAGGGGATTTTTCAATTGTAAAAATATTCTTAATAAAATTATCGTGTTACCATGACAACTACTTTAAATACTTCATTTTCGGAAAATACAATGGTTTTGTCGGCAAGGCGAGGGTTTCAGCATGCATGTATTTTCTATTATGAAACATAAACATCACTGGAACTTCGCCGTGTGAACGCCAAGCATGCCATTTTAATGTGATATGTGGAGTAGAAAACAATGCCGTACAAGTGAAAGAGTTGGAAGATTTATGTAATATATATCATGAATTCGCCTAGGCGGCTAGGCCTGAAAGAGGAAATTTTCTGCATATAATTTTGCTATGAAATAAGGCTAAATAAAAGGTACTTGAAATTAAACCTTAATTCTTAAACATGAAAGTAATTTCAAACTACTTTTCCAAGGACTATAGATTTTCTACTTCAGTTATTGAAATGTATATGTGGCTAACAAAATAAAGTCACTATTTGTTACATATTATGCACCTATCATTGGCCATCCCCGGGGGTACAACCCCAGAATACCGCATGCTTCATCCCCTCTCGCTCCCCATGGGTTACCCTTTGCACAAACAACCCCTCCTCAAAATTCTTGGTGCTGTTTTACTATGAAATTAATTCGAAAATCGTTTATTAATATTCACACTTAAGCTTGCTACTACTCATTAATCAGCGATGCTCTACGATCCATTGTCTGTGAGCAACGTAGAAGAAAATGCACAAAGCATATTATGCATCGTTGACCACCGACAATGGGCATCGCCGATGTTTACGATAAATGAGAATCAGGCTTTAAGGAAAGTAAAATAACACTTGAAGGTTCTACTTAATCATCAGTTTGTAACTGGTCCTCAATTATGTCCAATTCTTATCATGTGTAGCGCACCACCCTTACCTGTGAGAATTAATTTTAATAATTGATTTTGGAAAATTTCGAGAACATGCCTTTGGTAAACTTTGACTTTGGCCCTTACCTTATATTGCTAACAGTCCTGCCTTATTAACCAAAAATACAATAAAAAGCAATAGGATATATTATGTAACAAAGAAAAATTAGACTTTCACAGCTGTGCGCTAAATTTCAAGGAATGCAGCTTACAGCAAGAGGCATGCCTTCAATAGAGTAACAATGCCATAACACCTGGAGGCTGCTCCTATTACTGTTCGGAGTACTCCGGATTTTCGGAACACTAATTAAATCGAACCAACAATGATCACATGACTGTTCTGAAGGTCACATGTCTGTTCTGGCTGCCGGTTATTTATCAAGTTTTGGTGAACTAAAGGTGCTTCTCAACTCGCACTTTAACAACTTAATTTCTTTTGTAGAGAAGTTGCGATCCCGAATGTTTCGCTGATAGGCAATCCCTATTTGTTCAAACGTTCAAAATTTTGGATACATTAGTTACAAGTTGGTTATTTACTCACTTAACTGGTCTTATATTTTCCAATTATATTTTAATGAGAAACTATTGTTTTTATTAACAATGGCTATTAAAAGTTAAAAATTAATGGATCCCCATTGAGTACTGACCAACAGATTGTTCTCGCATTTGCAACAGTATTAAGTGTAAATTATTCTATATCTGTTGTTATAATTAGAAATTGTTTCTACTTCAAATGGCATGGAAAGAAAATATTGCAAGAAATTTCGTATTTTAGGAGCTTAATTGCATACAGTGCACGTATTTAACCCAATAGTTCTTTATGCGGGTTAATTTTTACTGTATTGTGGACTGCATGAGTGTATGTTGTGTTCATTACATTTTCTCAAGCAATGGATTGGCCAACCACGTCTACTTAATAGTGTTACGTACCTGCCTGACTTTTGACTATGTAGAAAAGGTGATGATTGGACATGCAAGTAATTTATATACTTCATTTTTCTAACTTTTTTCGTTGTTTGCAAACTTTATTACAACTTGTTAATTTTAAGCGAAACGTGTGTGTAGCATTAAGATAACTTACACCTTTGTTTCTTTAGAAGTATAAATGGCGGGAAACCTTTGTCTTGAATATTCAATTTTAAGGAACAAGTTGTTTTAGTACTTACATCTGGCGTGGGTGATACCATGAACCTTCGAACAATTTGCGTAGTATAAAGTTCTTCTGTGTACTGTGTAAGTTGGCCAAAGTCCCACACTAGCGGTCTCATACTCTCTGGCAAAGGATGGACACGATACACAAGTTGTCGGAGTGGAATCGACCCTGTAAAGAAGAGTATAACACTATATAATTATATTTGGTTGACGCATGGTCCGGTCCGGTAATTTCTTTTAAGATGCCTGTGACATTACTTTGAGTGTATATCCACACCGGGCAGGGTTGAAAAATATGTCTGGTCACGGTGGGAATCGAACCTACGACCTTTGGAATACTAGCCCAAAGCTCTGCCAACTGAGCTACGCGGTCAGTCGGTTCAAGTATGTGATATTTCGGGACTGAGTCTAGTTCCTTCGATATCAATGTAATCTAATAGTCATGATATTTGCTGTGTTGGTGTAATGTACTCAGGTGAATAAGATGCTTGTGATGTTACTCTGAGTGTAGATCCACACCGGGCAGGCTTGACAAATATGCCTGGCCACGGTGGGAATCGAACCCTTCAACCTTTGGAATACTAGTCCAATGCTCTGCCAACTGAGCTACGCGGTCAGGTAGGTTCCAGTATGTGATATTTCGGAACTGAGTCTAGTTCCTTCGATATCAATGTAATCTAATAATCATGATATTTGCTGTGTTGGTGTAATGTACTCAGCTGAATAAGATGCTTGTGATGTTACTCTGAATGTATATCCCCACCGGGCAGGCTTGAGGAATATCATGCCTGGCAACGGTGGGAATCGAACCTACGACCTTTGGAATATTAGCCCAATGCTCTTCCAACTGAGCTACGCGGTCAGGTCGGTTCGAGTATGTGATATTTCGGAACTGAGTCTAGTTCCTTCGATATTGATGTAATCTAATAATCATGATTGTTGCTGTGTTGGCGTAATGTACCCAGGTGAATAAGATGCTTGCGATGTTACTCTGAGTGTATATCCACACCGGGCAGGCTTGAAAAATAACCTGGCCACGGTGGGAATCGAACCTACGACCTTTGGGCCAGAGCATTGGGCTAGTATTCCAAAGGTCGTAGGTTCGATTCCCACCGTGGCCGGGCATATTTTGCAAGCTCGCCAGGTTTGGATATACACTCAGAGTAACATCACAAACATCATATTGACCTGAGTACACAACACCAACACAGAACACCAACAAATCATATTACTAGATTACATTGATATCGAAGGAACTAGACTCAGTTCCGAAATATCACATACTCGAACCGACCTGACCGCGTAGCTCAGTTTGCAGAGCATTGGGCTAGTATTCCAAAGGTCGTAGGTTCGATTCCCACCGTGGCCAGGCATATTTTTCAAGCCTGCCCGGTGTGGATATACACTCAGGTTTAATTTTAAAAATACCTTTCTGCAGGCTCATACGATAGGCGTTGCTTGAAAATGTATCCAACCAACTTAAGGCCCTGTTACACGGTGCAATTTTTCATGCAACTTGTATCGCAATGGCGTTGCGAGACAAGTTGCACGAGTCATTGCACCGTTTAACATGCCTTGCAATGGTCAAAATCCTTGCGAGACAAGTTGCATGAAGCATTGCACAGAGTAGAAGTCGGTTCTACTTTTGGCAACGATTGCACTAATTATTTTTAGCATTGCAGCGTGTGACATGGCTTCGTGCAACTTGTCTCGCAATGTTTATAGCTTGGAGAGTTCCTATTGGCTCTCCTCAGTACACGCTTTACTCTAATTAAAATTTGACACCAAATAGCACCTCTCCCTAGTCTCTTCGCATGCCTCTGTCGCCTATCGTTGCAAGTTGCATGAAAATCATTGCAGTGTGTAACACCTCTTGCAATGCATTATGAAAATCTTTTTTTAAACATTGCGAGCTGACAAGTTGCATGAAAAATTACACCGTGTAACAGGGCCTTAACAAATCTGGTTAACAAACTTTATAATTAGCGCATTGCCACACAACCTCGTTCCCAGGCTCTTCCCTCTTGTGGAGGAAAGACCCTGGTCGGTTTTTCATGCCAAGTGAAGAAAAAATAAGCATGTACGAGTCCGATCAAAAAGGTTAGTCAAAATATTTTCACCTCGGTGCCTAATTAAAACAATGCATAACAAAAAAGAAAGCAATTAATCACGAACGTGTCGTAGCTTAGCTAAGATTTATTCCTACTTAATAATAATTATGAATATGTGCGTAGTTTATTGAAGTGGAATTCATCAACTTAAGTACCAAAGGGGGTTAATTTTCAATGGTTTTATACCCAACTCTCAACGGTGAAAATATGCGATTCTGACTAACATTTTTTTATTTGCTCATTTTTTATCATTCAACAGCTAAAAGCCTGACTTTCCAAATATGAAAAAAATTCGTTCATACGCAGAGTATAATTCAGATAACAAAAGCGCGCTGAAGTTCGATTACCTTTTTTTGATACGCCCTGTGAAGGTTGTCCCCTTCAAATAGTGAAATAGGTACATATATATCTGACATGTGACCACATATAACGCGTTTCAAACTATTTTGAGATATTCCAAAACTAAAATTTTCGGCAAAATTCGATAAAAAAAGGAAAAAATGCGACATGGGGGCCAGTTTTATAAAAAAACCGTATTTTTTGCGAACTAATTGACACAAAACAATAGTGTTCGCACAAACTCGATAAAAAAAGAAAAATATGCGACATACTGGCCAGTTTTACAAAAAAAATGTATTTTTTGCTAACCGATAGACACAAAACAATAGTGTTCCCACAAACTTGATAAAAAAAGAAAAATATGCGACATGGTGTTTTTACAACAAAACGTATTTTTTTGCAAACTGATAGACACAAAACAATAGTGTTCGCACAAACTGCCGCCTAGAGGGCAGAGGAAATATTTAAAATATATGTTAACTCATGGGGTTCTCAGAATTTCTGACACCCTTATTGCTGGCCAGTTGGAATATCTATAAAATGCATCTGATAGGGTTGTCAGAATTTCTGACACCCCTATTGCTGGCCAGAGAGAATATCTAAAAAATATGCCAACTGGTAGGGTTGTCAGAATTTGACACCCCTATTGCTGGTCAGAGATAATATCTAAAAAATACGCTAACTGATAGGGGTGTCAGAATTTCTGACACCCCTATTGCTGGTTAGAGAGAATATCTAAATGCGGATGGTGCTATAAGCCTATATGCAGTGTTATTTCATGGGACATGGATTTTTTCAAGCATTTTGAAGTTATGGCATGCAACTTTCATATAGCTCTAAATTTCGTGTCGCGTTGTGTATGCGTTGTACCGGCGGTGGTAAATTACGTGATAGATTCGTAAAATACGACATATACCGAGTTTTTCCAGCGAGCATTTTCATGTGATGTGAAAGTTGAAACTTTATAAATATGCACGCTTTTGTTCACGGCTTTCGTCGAGGAAACGCAAAGAAAATATCGAGTTTTCATGGAAAATTTACGTAATTTAGCGCCTTAGAAAAATAGATCGAGGTAGGTAAAGCTTTGCTGTTTTTAATTTAGCTTATATTCTGTTATTTGTTATTATTTTGGTGCCGTTGTGCTCGCACTGATATTTATTTATCAATTATCAGGCGTTTATATGTTTGTGAAAGGCCACGCTTTCAAAATTCTAATTTTTTATATGCTCAAATTGCAACGAAACTATTGTGCTAGCACTGATTATATTGTGTGTAAAACTTTAAATTTCAAAATTACATCACATTCTGTAAATAACACGAACTATTGTCTCCTGAAATTTAATAATACAACGAAATAGCATTCTACTTCGATAATTTCAATCATAGTCGAGATCATACTTTAATAATTATTTTCAATCTATTATAGTAATTCACGGTTTCCACGGGTTTTTATACTTTCAGTAAGCCACAATAAAGCTAAATTTGTAGGAAAATATAAACATATAGTTTACTTCGAATAGTCAATCAGTGATAAACCCTTGACCTGCTGACCTTGTTATTACCGTCCCTTGCAACTACAGATGAACAGTCAAGAAAAGTTTGAAAAAGTTTTGTTATTTTGATATAATAGCTATTTTTCAATAAATACAATCGAACCTCTATTAAGCGGCCACCCTCGGTGATCGGCTTTGTGGCTGCTAAATAGAGGTGGCCGCTAAATAGAGGTACGCAAATAATAGACTCTGGGCGTAGTTAATGCTTTTGAGGTGTAAAGTGGCATGTGCTAAAACATAATTTTTAAGCCTTATTTTATAAATAAAGCAAATGAGCTCGACTTTTATTTTCGGCTCTCTTGACAAGGTGTTGTGCCAAGTAAATCCTGCAGGCTGGCCGCTTAATTGAGGTAAAAATTGACATAAAACATCATTTGGGACCGCTCTTTGGGTGGTCGCGGCCGCTTAATAGAAGTGGCCGTTTAATAGAGGAATAGTTTATGGTATTTGTATTACAAAAATTTTGGGGACTTCGATATGCATATGTGGCCGTTTAATAGAGGGTGGCCGCTTACATACATACATACATACATACATACATACATCAACTTTATTTAAACACGGAAAATCATCAGTATAGTTATTTACAAAAATATTAAAATATTTTAAAAGGAGCAAAAAGAAATATAGATACTGTTCTACCTGATTGCCGTGTGGGAGTCAGATCGATTATTTATTAAGAAGGCTTCTAAACCTGTCTTAAATGCAGCGAGAGAGGTTACTGATCTAAGAGATTCTGGCAGGCCATTCCATAAAGAGGCTCCACTGTAACTGAAGGAGCGTTTCAAATAATCTGTGCGTGGTTTTGGGACATAAAGTTTACCATAAGAATCTCTCAGGTTATAAACACTCTCACTGGGAGAAAACATCTCTTGTAAATAGAATGGTGTATGTTTATTAATAGTATTAAACATGAGGATTGCCTTTTGCTTTAATCGCTTAGTGGACAATGATTCCCAATTAAGTTCTTCAAGAAGAGAACTTGATGAAATATCATAAGATGAACGGGTAATAACACGGGCGGCCCTATTCTGTAATTTTTGTAATTTTTCGCTTTGCTTTTACCTAGGCCATCCCAAACAGGGGCACAATAGGAAAAATAGGGCTCCACCAAACTTTGGTAAACTCGAATTGCAGTTTCTGTGGTAATAAAATCTCTCATTCGTTTGAGAGCACCGATACCCGAAGAGACTTTTTTGGTGATATTATCAACATGATATTTCCAAGTCAAGTTCTCATCAATTGTTAAACCTAATGACTTAGACTTCAGCACTCTATTAATCTGTTTATTGTTAACACATACTTCCACATTCTGATTATCAAAGGTTGAAAGTCTTTGACGAGATCCAATAATCATAAATTCAGTCTTGGCAATATTTAAACTTAACTTATTTGCCTCTAGCCATGTTTTTAAATTGGCTATTTCAGCATTCATAAGATTTTCTAGCTCAGAAAGATTATTACTTTGCATGCTGATGTTCGTATCATCAGCATACATTCTAGGTAAACCCTCGTTCAAGCAGTTAGGCAAGTCATTGATATAGATCAAAAACAGAAGTGGGCCTATAATAGAGCCTTGCGGAACTCCATGGGAGATAGAACGACTACCAGAG